ATACATACATACATACACACATATATATATATATATATATATATACACCTTGCTACGTGTACTGCGTTAGGCTAACAGAGACTTGTCATTTGCACTTGTATATTGTTGCTCTTTTGTTAGTTTTGACTGCTTTTATTGTCCTCATTTGTAAGTCGCTTTGGATAAAAGCATCTGCTAAACGACTAAATGTAAATGTAATGTAAATACCCAGTAGAATAGGGAATCAGGGGAGGTTATTAACATAATGCCAAAGAGGTGCCCAAATCTTCCAAAAGTCGTTAGACCTTCGATGTGTGTCATAAGTGAGTTTCTCAAGTGGGAGTAATGCAGATATTTGAGACATCCACATTTTGAAAGAAGGTACCTGAGGGGATGACCACAATACAGGGTTCCCACGCTTCTTGAAAGTACTTGAATTTCAGACATATGGATTCAAGGCCTGGAAAGTACTTGAAAACAAACATAGGTCCTTGAAAGTGCTTGAATTAAATTTGAAATACATTTTGTTTATGGCGCTATTTAAATAATTGTCCTATATTTTCATGACTGTCTTTCATGACACTACATACTCTGAAGTGTGAATTTGATAGGTGCTTGATATAAAATAAATGGTGCTTTCAAAAGTCCTTGAAAGTCCTTGAATCTGGTGTTCATGAAAGAGTGGGAACCCTGACAATAACAATATACATTTCTTTGCCAAATAGACCAAAATTAAAAACAAGTGTTTAGCATGAGAGTCAAATATTGTCTCTACTCCAATAGATAAATACAATTCCAGAGAGAAACAGAATTGCAACTTAAGGAGCTCTTGTAGAAATTTCAAGACACTTGGCTTTCAAGAAAAAGGCAAAAGACACTTTTGAGATCCCCAAGTTAAACAAGAGAGAAAGACCTACGGTATATTATGCAAAGAAACAGGAAACAGCACAAACTGTAGCTTCCATATTAAGCCACATAGAATCAGTCCTTTCATTATACCAACTGACCATATGCTTCACCTGTGCTGACCAGTAATAAAATTTAAAGTTTGGTAAGGCGACACCTCTCTTATCTTTTGGTTTCATCAATTTGGTCAAATTAATACGGGGCATTTTGTGGTTCCAAATTAATTTAGAAAAGTGTTTATTAATATCTTTAAAAAAAGGGTTAGATAAGTAACAAGGGAGGAATTAAAATAAATATAAAAATTAGGAAGAATATTCCTAATCTGTTCTGTGTCCACTGCGTCACACCGGATCCGTTTCCAAGTTGTTGTGATTTGATCTGAACGGAAACAGCGTATCCGTGTGACGCAGCTGACACAGAACATGAACATTTCAGTTGCGTTGCTGTCTATGGAGGGTCAGACAGCTCTCAGATTCCATCAAAAATATCTTAATTTGTGTTCCGAAGATGAACGAAGGTTTTACGGGTTTGAAACGACATGAGGGTGAGTAATTAATGACAGAATTTTCATTTTTGGGTGAACTAACCCTTTAAGAGTCCGTTTCACACACCGCTTTCCCAAAACGCTGAACGCCGCCCTTTTTCCAGTTCAAAAAATCAAAACATTGGGAAGAGCTTCCGGACCACACCCACGGGAGTGCAGGGTTTCCGGTATACATCTCGCGAGCGCGAGATCACGGACCACACACATATGTAGGCAAATCATTCGTCATGCCTAGAGCTGATCCATGCTGGTCGCTGAGGAAATACATCAACTTCGACCTGTGGATCGCCGGATCGGCTTTCACCATGGACGAAACGGAGTCCAGCCCGGGGTCGTCACATGTGATTGCTGCAAGCCCTAGCACATCTCGCTTTTCAGAACGATGAGCTTTGTAAAAATAACAATAATGCACAGTATGTGAAAAATAATGTGTTTTTTGAACCTTAAACCGCATAAACACATTTCATTACACCAAATACACAAAATAATGTTCTTTTTAGCAACATCATATGACCCCTTTAAGATACCCAATACCAAGTGGTAATACAGAGTTACACCCATTTGTGGACGCACATGTGGAACAAACCAGTTCCCTTAATTTCTTGTATGTCAAATATCCGAGGTTAGGGCACTTATCTAGCAGTCCTTGGCCACAAAGAGGGAAGAAAAAAATATTTCCAGCAGTTTCTATTAAGAACAAACAAAAAAGGGGGGTCAAAATGAAGTAACTGCCACACATCAAGTTTCAAATAAATCTACCTCGGAATTTTCTCGAACATCAACAGCGTAAAAAACTCCAGTATATAGAATCGGCAGCATTTATTTTGGTATAGCCTATGTATGCCCATTATATCTCTCAATCGTTACCATCTTCCAAAGTTTTTAGAAATTTGGTCATGGCCGCTAGAGAGGAAAAGTCCAGCCATTTCAGCAGCATCTTCGTGAGAAATTGTGCGACGGACTCGGAACCTTCAGCTTTCTCAGGTAGGCCGACGATTCTCAGGTTTTCGCGTCTTCCTCGGTTCTCCAGGTCGTCTACTTTGGCTCTAAGTAATGCCAATTCTTTGTCCAAAAACGCAATTCTGTTGTCGTGAGACAGCATGCAATCTTCGGCTGCGGAGATGATGCATTCAGCCTCAGCTAAACGAGTCTCATTTGACGCCACTCTGCCAGACAAATTAGAAAGGGCTTCCTGTATCGAGGTAACTGAAGTAGAAATATTGTCCAAACGGTTGTCAATCGCACTTAACCTGCCGTCAATATTGCCCAAACTGGTTCCCAGTGAACGGATTTCGGTCAGCATGACTTCGGCCTTATCTGACGAGGTCTCCCCTCCGTCTCAGCGTGCTTTTTTTACGTTTCTGGAAGGCCGAGAAGATGTGAATAGAGGAAATTCCCACGTTTCTTTAGTCTCGGACATTGCTTGTTAATGTTGGGACAGTATACCTCGAGTAAGAATCAAGATAAAAGAAGGAAAATTTGAAAAGAAAGGGAACCGGCGTGGAGCTCTCGAACCAAGCGGCCATCTTCGAAGAGGTCACGTCACAAATTGCATTTATAATGCTGGTAAGATTTTCCCATTAAAAGCAGTTCTCTACCCTGTTTTTCCACTCTCTGGATTGAATACTCTGTTTAAAGGAATGTGTGTCAATGTAAATTTTAATATAAATGACTGGGAACTTTTTGTGTTAAGTATTATAATCAAGCACAGACATCTACACAATAAAGCAGTTGAATCACTGTGCTGAATGTGGTTTTACCTCAGCAGCTGCTTTTAGCTTCATGCTGATGTACAAGTTTGAGTCCTCTCTGTCTCCCACCTAGAACAAACAAAGCGTCAACATTCAAGCAATGTTTAAAACTTACACACATTTCATTTTTTGTTAAACGTTTTTAGTCATTTCCTCTTTTCCAGTTTATGCTTTTGAACTGAACATTTAAATACAATAAAGCAATACACAAAAAATTTATAAAATTGTACAAAACTAAATAAATTTCACACAGATTAAAGTGCAAAAGAATTATAAAGACCAATAGGTAACATTTTACATTAGGATTCCATTAGTTAACCTTAGTTAATGCATTAACATTAATAATGAGCAATTAGGCCTGTCACGATAACAACTTTTTGTTGTGCGATATATTGCCCCCAAAATAATTGCGATAAGCGATATTATTGTCATTTTAAATACCATTTTATGCCACTGAATATATAATCATAATGTAACAGCATAATAATGCAAGAAGGCCTACACACTTCCAAATGACAACAAACTTTTAATTTTTAAGAATATTTAGATCATGGAAATTAAGTATCAAATGTGTTTATTTGTGTTATCTTTGACTAATATTTAAATTTGTTTGATGATCTGAAACATTAAAGTGTGACAAACATGCAAAAAAATAAGAAATCAGGAAGGGGGCCAACACTTTTTCACACCACTGTATATTGCGCGATAAGTCGATATATTGATTATTGCGACAAGCCTATGAGCAATAGCTACATTTGATACAAAATTATTAATCTTTCTTAAAAAATACAACTCTTAATGTTAGCTCGAGTTCATTAAATAAAGTTGCAACTTTTGATTATAACAACTTATTAAATATTGAAATTACCCAAGATTAATGAATGTTTACAAGAATTTTTCATTGGCAGTGTAACTAATGAAGCCCTAATGTAAAGTTTGACCGAACAATAAAGAATCAAAACATTTTCAAACAATATCTAGGGCATGTTGTAGACCAGATTAAAATGTAAAAAAGTTTGAAAATAAATAGCCTATTAAGTCTAAATATTTAAGTATTTGGCGCTGTGATGATCTCCATAAAAAAAAAATCATGGCTAAATGGCTAAAATCATTTAAATACGTTTCAGAAAGTAACGACGCTGTTTTGTTTACGGGGTTTCCGGGGTAAAGGTTGCATTTCTGCTTTTCAGCGGCATCTGCTGTCAGAGAGTGAATGTGCTTTCATTCAGCACGTTGCCTTCATGGGTTCCGCCCATAGACTGTAAAAAAAAGATGGACGACGCGTCTCCACTTCCTTCCACTATAGAAAAGTGAAGCCAAAGCATCTCAGTATGGCCACTGCCATCTTGAGTAAATGATGTCATTTGGAGCCAGAGTCTGCGCAGTAGAGATTCTTTTTTGCAGCCAGAGTCTGCGCAGTAGAGATTCGTTTGATGCCAGAGTCTGCGCAGTAGTGTCGTGAGGTGGAGCCGCGGTATCAAACTCCCGCCCAAATTCCCGGAGACCCAATCAACCATAACGTCACGCCCCGTTTTTATAGTATCAAATTACTAGCTAAAATCAAACTTATCACAAAAACGAACAATTGAACATATATCAGCGTGATAACAACTACCTTAAATGACCAAAACCATCTTTTGGAAAATTGTATTGGAAGCGTAATTTATTTTTTTATTTTGACTTGAGTCGCATTCGTTTACATGGAGAGGGTGGGGTTTATGACCTGTACTGCAGCCAGCCACCAGGGGGCCTTAAATGACCAAAACCATCTTTCGGAAAATTGTATTGGAAGTGTAATTTATTTTTTTATTTTGACTCAAGTCCCTTTCGTTTACATGGAGAGGGCGGGGTTTATGACCTGTACTGCAGCCAGCCACCAGGGAGTGATCAAAGAGCCCGCAGCTTCACTTTTCAGGATGTGTGAGCAGTGGTGTAATGCAACGAAGTAATAATACTTTGTTACAGTACTTAAGTATTTTTTGGGAGTATCTGTACTTTACTTGAGTTTTTATATTTCAGCCAACTTTTACTTTTACTCCACAACATTTCCTAATTAAAATGTATACTTTTAGTCCGATACATTCCCCCGAAGCATATTTGTTACTTACAACAAAATAGTCAGAAGTCAGAAGAACACGGACTGCAGGAAAGCAGGTTTGACCACTGATATACACATATATCTATACACACACACACACACAAGTAATATTCTAAACGGTGACTTCAACTTCTACCAACGTCATTTTCTGGTAAGATATCTGTACTTTTACTTGAGTATGGCTTTCAGGTACTTTATACACCACTGTGTGTGAGGCACACCCGGTTCCGCCATGCACTTCTTATCCATGCTTGTTTACATGAGAGTGCGCATGCGTCTTTGACACAGTATACAGCGGTGTTGTGCATTGTGACCAGTTGATGGGAAAAATATTCTTAAAATGGAATATGATTCAGTGATTCACTCATTAACACAGTCAAAAGCTTTGTTTCTGAATGAATCGGTTGAATCTCAATGACTCACTGAGTAACAGTCACTTGCTGTCACCTACTGGCGGTTTTAATTTCACATTTCGACTATTATTTTCATGTTTTAATTATTTTGAAGTGCCCACGATAACAATATCATGCATGTTCATTACCGTGATATATCCCATTACCGAATGCCGGCACATGTCTAATCGATTTTAAAGCATTCGAGCACAAGAAGACATGAAAGAAGTCAATTCAGTATTTGCGTGCTGTATTCTGTGTGTACATTGCGCACACAGACAGCTGCGTGTCTCTGACAACGTGCAAGCCCCGAATGGGCACTCCTGGCCAATGTGAACATTCAATTTTACATTTTAAAGCTTTCAAAAGCAAGACGACGAAAACAACTCCATTTAGTGTATTCTGCGCGAGCACACAGAGCCGTATCAGGCAATGCACAACCCTTGAATTGAGTTTCTTTTTGTGTTTCCTTGTGCTTCAATGGACAAATACATGCAAAAGTCAAAATACTCGACTTGGCAGGTATACTGGAAAACAGTAGGGATGGGCATTTTTGTCAATTTCCCATTTCAATTATTGAAAGGTTTCAAAAATGAGTACTCGAGCACTCGGGGGGCGGGGCATGGCCGTCATAGAGATAATAAAAATATATGATGACTATTATGAAAATGAATGTTAAAAATAAAAATATGACATTAAAACCTGTCTATGAAAATATGAACATGATTAGAACACTGTTAGATTATGATTATGATGCAGCAATGTTATTAAAAAAGAAGCATCTAAAAAGGAATATCTGCCTGAGGTGAAGCTGAAGAGTGACTTTATGCCAATAAACTGAAGCCCATTCTATGACACATCCTATATTAATCAAATAACTTAGATACATAACATAGTAATGTAATAACATTACAACCTGTATCTGCACAAAAGGATGCAAATGCCAGTGAAGTTACCTACTATAGCGAGAGAGAGAGACAGAGAGAGAGAGAGAGAGAGAGAGAGAGAGCTCCCGCCATGATGCACATTCTTAACAGCGTGCTGAAACACGGGCAAGGAAAGCAGACAGAATTTACTATAGATTTCACATTCTATAAAGTTCTCATTATAATGCTATGTTTATGGCAGATTTGTGCTATATTTTCATCTACATTATCAAGTGATCCCTGAAATCACCTGCACGTTTTCGAAGCCATATGAATTACGATAAAACAGTTTTAATTGAAGTATGCCTACCGTTGAACAAATATGATGAACAAAGCACTGCTGCATCATTATAACATCAGTATTTAAAAAAAAGAAACATCTAAAAGCAATATGACCATCTCAAATAACTCAAAAGGTCAATATCAGACATCACTACGTGACTTGCTTCTCTCTCTTCTCACATATACTTTGGACCGCATGCTGTGGCAAGCTAAACAATCAGAGCTCAAAGTGCTGCTGTAACCAATGAGAATTTTTTTTTTAAAACACGTTCATCGTTTTCATGATCGATCGTCGCTGTCATGACCGAGAACTCGATCACCGTTGCACATCCCTAGAAAACAGTGAATTTAAGTGAACTTAAAGAGCTGAGAAATAAAATGGACGTGTAAAAAAAAAAAAAAAAGAATACTTTCCGTACCCACTGTATGTATATGTATGTACTTATGATATCAAGTTGAGCTTCTTTCTCTCAAATCTATTACATCACACATTTATATTAATTAATAATAGGGACGTGTCAGACTAGACAACTAAATAGTACAGCTGCTGATAGTCGGTATTGAAAATACGCTGATAAAAATATGAAAGGAGCATTTAATCACAGTATAACACCAAGTCAACTAAACTTCAGGGATACCAATCTGTTCTGTTAGGAAGCATAAGTTTGAATCAGTTTCACATGCTTTGGTGAAAATGAAAGTGACAAAGGGTACACTGGAGAGGCAACAGCATTCCCCCCCCCCTTTTTTGCAGGTGGTGGCCACAGACAGTTGCTCTCTCCATATACTTCCCTTGCTTTTATTTGCCTTTAGTTATGCGTTTTGTTAGGGCCCTTGCCCTTCTTATACTTGTACCTACAACCCAGTCAGGTTGCACAGGTAGTCCAGTTCCTCCAGGATGGGCCATCCACATATGTCATCGCAAGGAAGGAAGTGTGTCTCAAAGCACAGTTTCAAGAGCATGGGGAGATACCAGAAGACGAGCTGTTAAACGAGGAGAGCTGAACAGGGAGGTAGAAGAGGGCAACAACCCAACAGCAGGACCCGAATCCGTTCCTTTGTGCAAGGAGGAACAGCAGGAGCATTGCCAGAGCCCTCCAAAATGACTTTGAGCAGACTACTAGTATGCATGTTTCTGACCAAACTGTTAGAAACAGATTCCATGAGGGTGGCATAAGGGTTCAACATCCTATAGTGCAGAGATCTCCAACCTTTTTTCATTCGAGAGCTACTTTTTAAAAATGAAAGCAGACTAGAGCTACCCATGTTATCCAATACATAAATCTCTTAAATAATGTATCAATCCAAACTGTTATACATGGTATAACATGGTATAATACATGTTAAAATGTGCTGGACACACACTGAAATCAAGTTTTGTGTAAAAAAAAAAAAAAAGAATCACTTCTTGTTCTTGACTGAATAACTTTTGCTGCTTTAACAATGACTAATCTATATTTAATTTATATATAAAAGAATATGCAATGTTATTTTACATTTACATATTTTACATTTGATTATTCTTATACTTTTGTACAACTACAAACCTAAAAGCCTAAGCCTTGCATAACCTTAATTTGCATAACCTAAGCATAATTTAATTTGTATCTTTGTTTTATTTATTTATTATGTGCTATTGCTTGTAATTTGTTCTTATCTATTGACTGTTCACTTGTTCACATGGAACTAAGAATTGTAAAATTTAAGTGGTATCTAAAATGTTGGTGTCATATAAGATTTATTTATTGGAATATAAGATAACGGGTCAAAAACAATGATAACAGCAACCATTTTATTTTTTTGTGGCAGGGCAAGTACAAATTTGAACCACTGGCCTGACCAGGCCAGTAGAAAAAATCCTTAGCGTTGAGCCCTGATTTGTCATGAAATGACAATAGCCATCAACAATTAAATGAAATGCAGAGGCAAAACTAGTATTCAAGCTTGTTCTCAGTTCAAGGAGACCGACCTAGCAAACACAGTACATTCCGCTATCGTAAGTATTTGGTTCCTGTTTGGTTATTTCATTTATTATTTTTACTTTTTTTGAGAACCAAATAAAAACATTCCAGGAAGGTTCTTTTTAGGTTTTATATTTTAGAACCATAAAATAATCTCCCCAAAACATTGCAGGGAGATTATTTTTATTGTTAAGGCAATAAAAATAAAATTAACTGTACCATTTGCATACAGCAATGAATCCTTTATTACTCAAGTGCAAAATTGCTTAAGTGTAAAACAGAACAATTACCATCATGTTCATCAGTACTTCAGAAATGATTAACTGTCATTCATAGACAGGTTACCACTAACCTGTAACACCACAAGGCCTGGTTTGAAATTGGGATGAGTCATTCTCATGCCTTCCACCTCATCCTTCAGTCTCCCTCTTACCTGACTGGAGAAACACAAGGATTCAAAATAAGTTGTGCAAGTCATGGTGCGAGAAAAGTAGGCTACACCAACTTATGTGGTGTATGTACAGTGGGTACGGAAAGTATTCAGACCCCCTTAAATTTTTCACTCTTTGTTATATTGCAGCCATTTGCTAAAATCATTTAAGTTAATTTTTTTTCCTCATTAACCTTTTTTCATTCGAGAGCGACTTTTTAAAAATGAAAGTGGACTAGAGCTACCCATGTTATCCAATACATAAATCTCTTAAATAATGTATCAATCCAAACTGTTATACATGGTATAACATGGTATAATACATGTTAAAATGTGCTGGACACACACTGAAATCAAGTTTTATACCGAAAACTAGGGCTGCACGATAAATCGCATGCGATATTTAACGCGCATCTTATCAGTAAAGCCGGTTCTGTAATCAGCGGTAAATCTCCATCACCTGCGGGCTTTCACATTGAGCAGCATTAACTACACAGAGCCGTTGTTCACTGACCAGCTGCGCAAAACCACGTTCATATTTGCGCGATTTTTTGCGCAGCTCGTCAGTGAACAACGGCTCTGTGTAGTTAATGCTGCTCAATGTGAAAGCCCGCAGGTGATGGAGATTTACCGCTGATTACAGAGCCGGCTTTCTGACAAGATGCACGTTAAATATCGCATGCGATTTATCGTGCAGCCCTACCGAAAACCAACAAAAAGTAGCAGCACTATGCACTTTTTGTTTGCATAAATATTCATAACATGTTATCTACTGACGTACTGTTGTACTGTTGAAATAAAGTTTTGACCAAAACATTTTTTTGGGGAAATTTACATTTAGTTGTTTAGCAGATGCTTTTATCCAAAACGACTTACAAATTAGGACAATAGAAGCAATAAAATCTCACATTTCAGCCTTTAAATCATTTTTTATATATGAAATGATGAGTCAAGATGATAAATTATATTTTATCTGCTCTAAGGCTGTCACTAACGATTATTTTAGCAATCAAGTAATCTGTTGATTATTTTGATGATTAATCGAGTAATCAGATAATTATAATAATTTTTTTGTGGTAATAAAAATAGACCTAAGCTAGCAATAGCTTTTAAAATTACTTAAAATACATATATAGTAATGAGTCAATAATAATTAGTTCAAATAATGTATCAAAAGCAATTAATCACATGGTTTTATTGAACAAAACCTTTAAAATACATACTGTATTGTAAACAATAGAGCTAACGTACATTACGCATTATAACAAATGCCTGCAGAGGACGCCAACAGCCTGATGATTGTTTTTACAGTTTACTGCGCGATCTAATCCTTGTTTAAAGGGGTCATATGACGTTGCTAAAAAGAACATTATGTTGTGTATTTGGTGTAATGCAATGTGTTTATGCGGTTTAAGGTTAAAAAAACACATTTTCCATATAATGTACATTATTGTTTCTCTATGCCCCGCCTTTCTGAAACGCGTCGATTTTTACAAAGCTCATCTTTCTAAAAAAAGCGAGGTGTGCTCTGATTGGCCAGCTATCCAGTGCGTTGTGATTGGCCGAATACCTCAAGCTTGTGACGGAAATGTTACGCCTCTTAACATACTGTGATGCAATCTCCCAGCAGGACGAGACTCAGTCCAGCTGCTCTGCTCGTGCATATCCCATCATCGGTTCTCTTTTAGCAGTTCAGTCAATGTACTGTTAGGAGTAACTGAATAACTCGGGATATTGGTTTATTTCGAGTCAGAGGGAGTGTCAGGCACGTTTATAAACCGAATAATTTAAGTAATTTGTGGATTAGTGCGTACTGGAGACGCGAACAGTTTCAAATGATTCAGTTCGATTTGGTGAACTGGTTCGACCGGTTCACTACGAAGATTCGGTTCAATAGAACGATTCTTTCGCGATCCGGACATAACTAGACGAGACAAAACCAATAAAACCCATTACAAACGAGGCATTTGTTGCATCCAGTGGGGACATAATTACGGATTATAATGACTTATACTGTCTTTTTGCGTTGCATCGCGCCGCGTAAACATAAAACCATGTCTGCATTTGTGATCGGAGAAACAACAAGCCTACTCTTGTTTTTTTATTACTCCAGTAAAAGTACTCCGTTTTCAATTTTACTTGAGTGAAAGTACAAAAGTACTTGATTTATGTACTAAAGTAAAAAGTACTGATAGATTAATGTTTATTTTGCAGTTTTATATAGGCTACTTGTATCATTTAATTTTATATTAGCATATATTTTTTTATAATCCTACTGCTCAAAATACCTGGGATTTTCCCAAAATAACCAATAAGGAAATAATTATTATAATAAGGAAAATATAATTAGATTTTCATAATGATTTTTTTCTTCTCAAACCTTGTCTGTGAGAAAGGAAAAATTGAAATTGCATCATATGACCCCTTTAATATTGACTAAACAACATTTAATTTAAATGTCCACCTAAACTTTTATATTTGGCAATTTCTTCACGACAAATGCTACAGCCACTGTAATTTCGTGAATATGTGGACATCAAAGCATGTAAACTCAGAGCTTTTATTTTGAAATCACGGTGAGCAGTTAGCATATTGAGAAAGATATTGATGTATTCTCCTGGGTTTGCATAGGTTTATAAATGATTTACCTTACAAATCTGATGAAATGGCACACGTTGCATTCCCAGATGAACGTTATAATAAACCCAAACTCATAACAATATGCAGAGATGGAATTTGAGACGCTCCACAGTCCACACATGTAAATGATAACAGTTCGTGTGGAGCAGCATTTATTGTGAACGGAGACGCTCCGACACGCACACATGACCTACATGCATGTACATAATTAAAGCTCATATATATAATTAAACCTGTAATGCATATATCTATTTAATTGAATCGTAGCGTTTCTGAATTCACAACAGCATTATGCTTTATTATGATTGTTTAAATAATGTGTAATTGTGTAATAATGCGTTTCGTGGATTCTCGTCTGTGAAATGCACCACTTCCGGTATTTTGCCGATTACTAGACACGGGCAAAATGAAATCAATGATTTTTTTAAAAATCAAATACTCAAATAGAATCGAGGAACTGTTGCAGTCCTAATTTGTCCATAAACAGTCCTACATAAGCTAATATGCGTTCTAAAAATCTCAACACTTGGGATAATATGAAATTGTAAATCCACTGTTTAACAGCTGGTGGTGCTTATGGAACAGCAGAAACAGTGGGAAAATGAAAATAAAATGACAGCGAAACTTTTCTGAAGACAGCTGGTTCCTCCTTATGCATTCATATACAATTCATTCAATCACACATTCTTTCATAGAGTTTCTCTCAGCAGTCTGCCTTCCATCATATTTTCGCACAAACTAAATAATACACCCGAGTCATGTACATCACTAACATGATGTAACAAACCTACTCTGTGTGTTGCGCCTGCGTTGGACTCTTTTACACGTGTCTACACTGGACGTGAACGGAGCGACGCGACAATAAGAATACAGTAGAACCCATTATGATCAGTGATGCTGTCTACACTGGATGCGGTGCGGTGTGACACGACGCAACAACAAATCCCCGACAGTAAACTAATGCTTCGTTCTTTTTATGATGAACTGACACAAATTACAAATGATCTGCAAGGGTCTCTTTGTCGTGTCCAGTGTAGACAGACTGTGGCGTGACACGACAACTGTTGCGTCTGGTGTAGTAGACACGTTATTAACTTGGGTTTTTCAAATTGCGATGATCAAATGCCGGTTTAATGATAATTAGAAATTCTGAATACTAAATTGGATCCTTAAAATAAACTCACGGCCAATGTCAAAAAAAAAAAAAGTATTTGCATTGGAGGGAGTGGGACCTGTCTATATTATCTCACTCTGATTGGATGAAAGAGCTACTAGTAGCTTGCGAGTGACATGTTGGAGACCCCTGCTATAGTGGGACCTGTGCTCACAGCCCAGCACCATGCAGCTTGATTGGAATTTGCTAGAGAACACCAGAACTGGCACATACGCCATTGGTGCCTCGTTTTCTTGTCAGACTTTAAATTAGTACAGTGGGCTCTGGGTTCCTCCTGGTGCATGACAATTCCCAGCCTCATGTGGCCGCAGTGTGTAGGCAGTTTCTTAATGACAAAGGCACTGATGCCATTGACTGGCTCTTATGTTCCCCACACCTGAGTCCAATTGAGAACCTCTGGGACATTATGTACCAAAGCATCTGAAGCCACCAAGTAGCACCAAAGACCATAGGCGGAGTTTAGGGGAGGTGGGAACTGCCCCACAGACGAGAGCCAATAATGATTTTGTCTGAGCTATGAATAAAATATAATTAAAAAATTTGCATTTTCTCATTTTATTTGTATTATCTTATTATTTTAGTAGATAGAATAAGTACGTTTTGGGCTAAATTAATTATTTAAGCCCCATATCCTCGCGAGTCGTGACTCATGATTCTCAACTTGAGGACATGAGAGGACTCTCTTTTCGTTATTTTCCCGCTTTAGCAAGTTAACAAATATTCGTTGTTGTTGTTTTTTTATAAACCTGCTAATAAAAATGTGGTGGACTGAGTCATTTCTGGCTGAATTATTTAAGCCCCATATCCTCGCGAGTCGTGACTCATGATTCTCAACTTGAGAGGACATGAGAGGACTCTCTTTTCGTTATTTTCCCGCTTTAGCAAGTTAACAAATATTCGTTGTTGTTGTTTTTTTATAAACCTGCTAATAAAAATGTGGTGGACTGAGTCATTTCTGGCTGAATTGGACAGGCGATTTAAAGCAATGGCCATGAGTGTGGCGTGTGATGCATACGCAAGCCTTAAGATTCACCCTCGGCTTGTGACAGCTGAAATGGATCTTGTGAAATGTGCGATCGCATCGTCGATTACTCTTGAGAAACTTAAAGATGAAGTAGGCTACGGAAGAACAAATATCCAAACTTTTTCAGACTACTGCAGCTTGCACTCACGCTGCCCATTGATTCGGCTACATCAGAAATAAGTTTCTCAGTTATGAGGAGAATCTGGCTCCGATCTTCATGTGGCACAGGACAGATTCTCAGATCTTTCTTTACTGCACATAGAGAACGATTTGACTGAAAAACAATCAGAAGAGAAGAGATAGTGAAAGAAAGAAAGTGGTCATCTACGCAATTCGGAAAGAGAGGCGGCTTTTCTGCATTAGGTATGTTTTTACATCAGAAATTTCTCAGTTATGAGGAGAATCTGGCTCCGATCTTCATGTGGCACAGGACAGATTCTCAGATCTTTCTTTACTGCACATAGAGAACGATTCGCCTGAAAAACTATCAGAAGAGAAGAGATAGTGAAAGAAAGAAAGTGGTCATCTACGCAATTCGGAAAGAGAGGCGGCTTTTCTGCATTAGGTATGTTTTTCTGTTTTTTTGTTTTTTTTTTAAATGTATTTTTAATTTAGAATATATGTTATATAAGTATATGAAATGTAGAACATATAAAAAAAGTGTTCGTGGCTCGTCTGCCAGTGGGCCTATGCCAAAGACTGTCCAGGAATCACTAATGCTCTAATCCAGGTCTGGGAGGAGATTGGACACCATCCACTATCTCATCAGGAGCATGCCCAGATGTTGTCAAGAGTGCATGCAGGCACACGGGGGCCATACACACTACTGAATTACAGTTACTTTGATAAATTAATGCAAAGCATTTTTCTATTAAAAATAATTTATTTTCTTTATGCATGTTACTGGTTTGGCGGGCACAGAGACAGAGAAAAAAAAAGCGCCTTCTCATTTTTGGGACTTTTGTCGATAAGGATAATTAGAAAATATTTTGCTGTTTTTGCACAGATTTAGGTCTGTTGTAAAAAGCTCCCAAAGCTTTTAATATTCTTCATATTCTGTGGTTATTTAGTTGTTAGTTCACAGTAGTGACAAATTAACTTTTCAATTAACAGGCAATATTTGCCTCATTTAATTGATTTCGAAGGGCAATTTTATTAGAGCTCATTTTTCTAACCTTCACATCATACTTTGTGTCTAATTCTTTAAAGGGGTCATATGATGGGATTTCAAGTTTTCCTTTCTCTTCAAATTACATAATAAGAAGACATAATAGGGCTGTTACCAATACAACGCAGAGGTGATAAAAAAGCCACAACTGCATTGATGTATTTAAACAGACTGTTCATGCAGCTCAGAGGTGGCAATTTCCACTGCAACTGCATAAATAATCCTATGAGATTAATGAAATGAAGCAAGTGACTGCCTTTATGAATGAGTTACTGAATCATTCACTCAAAATCTGATATATTGAGTAAAGACACACAAAGACTGTGCTTTGTTTGGAACTAGTTTCTAACTCCAAACTTATAGCACACCCTAAGTGAGTAGCACGGTCACCTCACAAGAAGAAGGGCCATGGCTCAGGCATTTCTGTGTGGAGTTCTCCGCATGTTGGCATGGGTGCTCAGGTTTTTCCCCTACAGCTCAAAAACTTGCAGCTCAGGTGAAATGAAAACACTAAAGCCTTGTTCAGACTGTCAGACCAAATCCCATTATTTGTTTATCCAACTGGAATCCGATTTAAATAATTGACTGTCCATACTGTGTAACGCAGCTGTTCAGATTTGCAATACAGATGTTGTATTACAACATAACATGTTGCCGTCACACTGGATTATTACATTTTATGAGGCAGCAGCAGAAATATAGAAAGGGGGAATGCACTGATTTATTCCATGCTGTCTATGCCAGTCTCAAAACTCAAAGAGGTATGTACCCAAGCAGTATATTGTCATTTTCTGCTTGACTTGCACTTCACAAAAACACAACCTTTTTTCCTGCAAAGACATTCAGCATGTTTTCAAAAAACAACATCCGACGTGTTTACATGGCATGAGAAAGTCCGATCAGAGCGGTCAGACTGAAACGGATTTCCAGAAATGTCATTTGAATATGATCTCAAACCACATATGAATGTGGCTTGAAATACGAAGTTTACAAAGCCTTTTCATGTGATTTTTTTTGCCGTTCACACTTGCTAAATATGATTGGAAATGCACAAAAATAAGATTTGGACATACAGTCTGAACAAGGCTTAAATTGCCCATAGATGTGAGTGAGAATATGACCGTTGTCTGTCTTTGTGTGTGGCCCTGTGATGGACTGTCCATCTCTCTGGGAAATACTACATACTGGATAAAAATAGCCATAAGATAAAGAAACATTTTAGATACTGGATAAAAGTATTCATGAATGCACTGCAAGTAACTAAATGGCTGATTTACTGATTGTGTCATTCTTTCATAAGTAATAAGGGTCAGTTGGAGATCATGTGATGTTTGGTCTCCTTGAATGTATTAGCCTATTCAAAAAAAAAAAAAAAAAGTATAAGACTTGCACACATTTTTTTT